ACAACTGATACTGACAACCTCTTTCCCATATGTAATGGTGATAAAAAGGAAGTGATAGCCATGGTCGACACAACAACCACTCTTCATACATACAGTAAGCCTGCTCGAAGCCTAACCCTGGACTGCTTTGCCAGCGAGGTATTGAGCGTAAGAGGCGGACAGAATCCCTCGGCAAGAGATAAAGATATCGATTACTGCAGCATCGACTCTCAGACAGAGTATCGCTACAACCTTGCAGTGAGGGCAACCTACATGGATACAAATGGAGTGCAACAGATTTCTGATTTTTCTATTCGTGATATGTTTACCGGTTCTCTTACAAAACCCACCTTCCGAATGCCAGTACTAAGCACTTTTTCTATTGTGTTCACCAATCTTGCGACCAATGATCGCTGTACATTAGCTCTGAGTGCTCGATTCGATTCCATTTTAAATGATAATCCCGCTGAGGGTAACGAAACTGAAGTGATACCAGCACTGATTGCTTTGCGGCCACCCACTGTCTACCCTCTAAAGAATGTTAGAACCTTTTTTGTGTTACAATACCCCAAGAATTATCCAGCAGCTGAAGCGGCGGTAGATCTGGTGAGACTTGTGAGTCTTAGCAACAACTGTCAGGAAGTTTGTCCTGCATACTTTACTGAGTACACTACGGACCTTCCGTATGATGATGTTTTTTTTAGCCCTCTACAGAGTTATTATACGCGTGCGCAACGCTTCTACGACCCTGGAAGCTACAGAATCTGTTATCAGAAAAACAACACTGCCACAGGCTATGAGCTGGGCATTGTCACGGTCTTCAGCGGCAATCCTATATATTTTAAACTTTTCATTCTTGCGGAAAATAAAAATGTTTATATTCATACGCCGTTATTAATAGAGTTTCATGGCTATAACCTCGATACTAGGGAGAACGGTGACATGGCTAAGCTCGTGGATGAGGATGACATGTGCGATGATGGTCAGCCGGCTGGTGGGGTGCCACTTGATGTTCAACTAATGCCCAAGGGGAATTACGGCCCCCACACCACCTATGCTTCCTGGGAAATAATAGTAACCCAAGCAGGTTCCTTTAAGGTATGCTACAAGCGCATTGGAGAGGGGTGGACTGATGTGCCCAATATAGTTGTGGCTTGGCCAAGCTTTGGACCTACGTCAGACTCCACGCCCACACCATTTCCAACTCCCATTGATCCTGTCACAAATGAAGCATGCCCGACGGCACCGACGGATGGTGACCCTTGGATTGGCTACACCAGCTTGCGGTTTACTATGAAAAAGAACAAGAATATAGGGGAGCTTACCAAGATGATCTCCAATCTCTTCTGTGTACCGCGATCAGCGTTTACGATAATTCGTATGACTCACAACGAGGCTGGACAACAAGTTGTTTATGTCGTTTTTTCATGCAACGGGGTCACATTATACGACGGCAGGCCCGCTTGTGACAGCGTAGAGCGAAACAACTATGCCGTAATGCTCAGCAAGATCAATTCATCGTTTCTGCACGACAATGACATCGATCAAATTGTAGGCAGCACCTCCATCGCGATCTCTGGTGATGATCCTGACGTCTTGCCACATGACAAAAGGTTTTGGTCCACGTTTCTCATTTGTGTCACTGCAATTGCATGTACAGGTATGTTTGTGTTCGCGATCCTAAAATACCGTGAACGTCGGCAGTACTTTGTACAGTTTGGTATGGATGATGACAAAATCGACGACATGTACATGCCAGCTATGATGATGACAGATACAAATGAGAACAGCCGTCCTGACACCAGTCAGCACCCCTTTCGAAATAAACATACAGCGTCACTGAAAAGTATTCAGATTGAAGTAGACAGTTAGTGTAAAGATATGATATCTAATTGAAAAATATCAAAATATAGCTTTTTGCGTTCGTTATAATAGAGAAAAAATGTTCCTTTTTATGCTTATTATATTAAGTGGTGATTTTTATTAAATTCTAGAGTTTTTTACATTGGATCTCAGGATTTAATGGTAAATAGACTGGGACACTATGTACTCAATCACAAGCTTTCCAAAATAAGAGTACTCATGATATTTTGCATATATTTCAAACATGCTGTCAAGTGTGTGACATCGACTAAATGTCCACAGCGAAACCTTATAAGGCTTCCAAAAAAGAACTAAATGAAAAATTTCTTAGTAACAGCCGTGATACTAGATCGATAATCATATTTATTATAAATTCTGATATAGAGGTTTTTAAATGCATATGCTTGCTTTAATTTGTAAACATTGTTTATTTTAAATTAATCTCGTGTAAAAATCATGTTTAACAAATTTATACACTAATGAAAAGTTCCTATTACACGTATTTTGTTTGAGAAAAAGATGATGTTGCGATTTATATTATATCTGAAAACATTTTCTTAATATTCCTTTTTATTGATGAACTTCGGCACTGAGTTCCCGAAATATGATCTATCAATGAATATACAGACACAGTTTATTTACGTTGGGATGTTTGCAAATAATCCTCAGAAGAAAATAAAAGATCGAAATGATAGAAAATAATTGAAGTTCTTGAATTTATACCTTTTGAGGTTTGAAAAGCATTTTTTCATCTTTTTTACATATTCAAACAGCTATTTGGTTTATGCATTTATAGTTTTAAACTTATATTTTCCTAAATTGACCTCTTTACACACACATTCTCTTCATATTTCTATTCTCTTTTCTTGAAGTAACTTTTTTTTAATGAGTATATACCTATAAGTTTTATTTTGAAGATAAACAATGAAAAATTCTGATGTGAAGGTGAGTAGTGGATATTTTCGTGAGAAGGCAACCATAGGCCTTAGTATTTTAACCGGGAATCAGATTGACAAAGCCTTGATGAAATCAACAAGCCATATGCTAAAGGCACCTAAAGAAAAATATGTCCAATTATTGTTGTCTGCATCATATAATCATTGTTATGAGATTAAAAAAAATGGACTGTCTGTTAGTAAATATATTGTTCGTACGCTCATTAAGAGATTGCAAACATACAATTGGGTCGTTGTGATGAAAACAGTGGTTGTTTTTCACAGATTGTTGTCTGATGGCTCTGATAAAATTGTTCAGGACATTTGTGATGAGAAAAATATTTTCAGCCCCCTTAAGAGATTTTCTGATACATACATTGTTACTTTCCAGAGGTATTTTATCGAACAATATATGGGGTATTTAGAAGAACGTCGCATTAGCCAGAAATTTATTGGCGTTAGTAGACGTATCGCGACCCCGTCATTTGAAGAATATATTGGATCACTGAATGTCGAGTTGCTTTTTCCAATATTCGAATCATTACTGACGATACTTGAGGCACTCGGTAATATAAAATATTCGGATCAAATTGTAAATAATTTTTGCACTATGGTAGCATTTGAAGCACTAGTAAAGGATGGCAAACTTATTTTTAAATTACTTTCGACATCCATGGTGTTTGTATTAAATGGATTTGAAGAATTTACTGTATCTTTGAAAAAAACATGGCTGAATATATATATAAGATTTACTCGTGCTATTGGAGGCTTGAAAAATTTTTTCGATTCAATTACCAAGTCCTCACGTGTTTTTACTGAAGAGGTTCCTATTTTAAGGCTTCCATCTGAAAAGGTTTTACGTGACCTTCAGCTGAATGTGTTTGAAAGTACGATGCCTGATGTGGAGATTTGCACTCTTGAAGGCATTGATATACACAAGGAGGTGAAACCCCAACCTGAGAGGGGCATTTTTCCTGTAGTTAAATCGCAACAGCAAACAGCGTCACCAGAGAACATCAACGGTACTTCTACGGAATCTAAAAGTCCACTTCAAAAACCCATCATTTCCATGGATGAACTTTTTGGACCGATTACATCTGCCATTGCGCAAACCAGCGAGCGACAATCAGATATCAACCATATAGATCCTTACTTCTCTCTTGGTGAGATACCAGCGAATGAATTTCCCACTGAATTCCCAGGTGCAGGCTGGTCAAGCGGAGTTCCTACAGAATGGTCTCCTCTCACTCCAATTATTGATCCTGTGTATAATTGGTAAACATTAGAAAATAAATTTTATAGGAACTATACACATTCCTATTTAATTAAACCCAGCACAAGTGCCAGAAAATCATAATGTTTTCGCACCTGCTATCGTAATAACACTTATCCGCACGCCACATTGTTTGAGCTGTTTAGGAAATACGTTTGGTCTATTATTATTATTCTAGCTACAATATATTTATCTATTTGCTTATAAATATCTTTATATATATATATCTATATATATACATATATATATTGCACGTTTTCAAAAGGATTAAATGTCAGGGACACATTAATACATCTTAAAAAAAAAACGGATTCTACATATTTCTTCATGTGTTTAACGATGTGAAATTGTAATATTTTTTGTCGTCATAGTTATTCTGATAGATCTTTTACCAACCCTTTTTGTTCAATTTTTTTTTCATTATTAGCTCGAATGATATATATATATATATAAGTGACAATGATAAGAGTGTTTAGAGTGAACGGACTTATTTCAGTGCTACCATTTACACGCAACTACAATGTCACGACGACAGGAACCAGGCGCACAGGAAGCGGAGGCGGCGTAAGGGGACGTATGGGCTCTTCTTCAATTCAATTGAGTGAACCACAATTAGTTGCAAAGCTTTTAGAGCTTTTCCCACTCGAAAACTCATGGATTCCAGTCAGTAAGTGGGCACAGAGCATTTCAGATGAAGTAAAAGAGCTTCTTGTGGCTTATAACGGGTTAGGAAACTTTGTAGGAAAGCAAAACAACTTTTTTATCGTGAGAACTGAAAATGGTGTAAAAGTGGTTTCTTTAACGACAATGGGGATGAGTTTGTGTCAAAGACGACAGAAGAAATGGAATATAGAACGAGTGAGAAGCGATAAGTTTGGTCAAAGAAGAGATTTTAGGAGAGGGAGCTCAAACTATCATGACAAAAAGTAAAATGTTACTCTTATTAAAAAAATTTATTACACTATGGTCATCTAAATTTTATTATAATGCTTTTACCTGTTTTTCTTTGAGATTATCATTTCGTGTATAAAACTGTTTTTGAATAACCCCATGAACGTTATTGTGTCTTTTAAAGCTTTTTATCTTTTTTTTGTGAATTTTTCATTCCGTCTTTTTTTTATCACTTTAGGCAAATTAGCAAGATGGTTCATTATTCGCGTAAGCCACAGGTGTCCTCCAAGAGCGCCAAAGCCAAGATAAGTGACCTCCGTTGCCACTTCAAGAACACCTTTGAGACTGCCAACATCATTAATGGCATGCCCCTGCGTAAGGCGCAGCAGCTCTACCGCCAGGTCCTGGCCAAGACCCGCTGCATCCCCTTCAAGCGTTACAACGGCAAGATCGGCCGCACTGCCCAGGCAAAGGAGTGGGGACAGACCAAAGGCCGCTGGCCGCGCAAGTCGGTTATTGCGATGCTCTCGTTGCTGAAGAACGCCGAGGCAAATGCCATTGAAAAGGGCTTGGACCCTAACAAGATGATTATTAAGCATGTCCAGGTTGATGAGGCCGCTCGCATGCGTCGCCGCACGTTCCGTGCACATGGTCGCATTACGCCGTACATGTGCAGCCCGTGCCACGTGCAACTTTTCATGTCTGAGAAGAAGGAACGTGTGCCGGTCCCGAAGAGTGCTCCCAAGAAGTAAAAGGGCTAATTTTGTCACATTAATTATTATTTGATGCGCAAAAATTATTTTCACCAGATTGTTACCCAATGGTAAAACTTGTAACATTTCTTATTAGTTTCATTATTTCATTTGTGAGCATACACTTAATTTTTCCCTTTTTCAATTGAAGGATTAGTTTGCTACATTTTCTTAGTTTTTTTTCTAAAGATCATTCAAGTACTATGGGTAAGATTTTATTCGCATTTGATCTATTATGATAGAAATATTCTTCAAAAGGTCTACGAACTGCCATGCAAAGAAAGGTCAATTTGGTGATGAATTTGCTTAGAACAACATGACTTCATAACTTAGAAGATAGATAGGGGTCTTCGATGTTAACATAGACATGTGGTATTCTGTTAGTTAGTAGTGTTTCAAACGCTCTTTAGTACATTTACATGACTTCTTGGATGGAGGATATACCTCAATGATATGCCAAACTTCTTTAGTCTATTCTCAAACTAATACAGCAAAGAAGTATTTATGATATATTTATACAACATCCGCACTTCATCTTACATTATCAAATTATAGCAGCTGGTGTTTTCATGCTTATTGTTCGGTGACAGTCTATTTTTTAAAATTTCATTATATAATTATAATGAAGATATTATAAAGGCAAATTATATTGCAACGTTTGTAAAAAATATATCAAGAAGGTGTTTTCTGAGAGCGAAGGTGTGGATTAAATGCAAAAAAATATTGTATTTTATATGACCCAAAAGGTATATTGAACAGTTTTAAGAAGGGTAAAAGTATTTTAACAGACTATCTGGCGCACATTCTGATCCACTCAAGGGGGATAAAGAAGATTTTACTTTAAAAATAAAATTGAAAAGCGTTCACTTTACATATACTCAGCTTTTGAAAAAAAAATTAAGAAACATTATAGCTTGTTTTTCATATACTTTTCTAGCATTTTTATCGTCAAAAAAAATTACTAAATCAAATACTTTTATCTTTATTGAATCATAAAAGTAGCTCGACAACTAATCTAAGTAATGTTAAGAGCTTCTTTTCGCTTAACATGTTATTTTGATAGTATATGGTCATCACTAAAAGTTCAGTAACTCTATAAAATTCTCAAAATGGATGTTATTCTGTTTTTATATTATATTAATATATTGGTATCCTATGTATATTTACACTGTAAAAGTTACATATCCTGATGCACTTTCCACTTACAGGAATTTATGCATCTCGCAAAACATTGTAAAAATAAAAATTCACTTACTAAAATCATACTTAAGGTAGAATTTTCCATAAACAATCCGGACTTATCCTTAGCTTCGAAGCTGAAAATCTGTTAGTTGAGATTTATTTTAGGCCTTTAAGGTTAACATAATCACTGTTACTTCCCACTTTTTTAATAAAATAAAAAAGTTGCTATATCATGATTTTTTTGTATTTATATGCAACAAAACATTCAGTAATTCTCATAGGAATCACACCTAAAAGAATTGAGTATTTTTTTGTAATTATTATTGGTGCCGTTGTTCTTTGCCTAATGAGTGACATTATCTTTTTTTTTCCCTTTTAAATGCCAAGGGTAATTTAGGAAACACTAATGTTATATTTCATATTGCTTTTGTTTTTTATTTTTACGCAGTTTCCCTTCACTATCCCGTCAGAAGCAGAAAATAAATGGACTTTTCTTAAATATAGTAAAGAAGTAGTTTTGCATAAAGCATCAGAATATAATGAGAAGCAGGTTGCAATGTCTATGCTTGTCCCAGCACTATCATCTATGATAAGCACTTCTATATCTTCTGCAGCCATACATGTACGTGCATACCGAAAATCTTCTGATTTAGTTGCTACTCTGTCTGCATGGTTTAATGGTACAGAGTATTCGGTACAAAAGGCTGCTTTTGCTTTGGACAGAGTTATTGTGGAATTTAAAGAAGCACCATCGATAAGCACAGTTCAGTTTCTTAGCCCTATGCTCCTGGAAAGCGCAGACTTTCAGAAAAATATACTTAAAGCATCTGTAGCATGCGATTATTTGGGGGAAATTGCCAATTTAAATTCACTTACAACATGTATGCAGAAATCAAGCATACCGGTTGCTTTACGCGGCAAGGAAGCGTCTTCAACCTTAATGCACAATGTTCTTATGAAAAGTCTTTCGAAACAAAATTTAAAAGACTTAATTCAATCTAAGGTACATTGTGATGCATCCCCCCAAAAACAAAGTCTCATGATTGGAGTGCCTGTAGGCTGTGAAACGAGTGACACAGAGCCGAATCTTTTAAAAACTTATCATGCGGCTCGAAGGAGATCGCATGATTACTTTCACATGACACTCATGAATACTCCACCCCATACACCTGATGCTAGTCAGTGTGTTGGCCACTTTTGGTACTTTATTTTTTTCATTATTTTAATTCCTATATCCTTGTGTTTATCGGTTGTTTTTTATCGTCGTGGTTTAGAATCCGGTAAGCGCAGTATTCGTGAGTCAGAGAATGATATTCGTGCTGGTGTTCGATTGTCGTTAAATCCGTGGAGTCTATATGGTATGCCACCCAGCTGTCAGATGCAGTATCCTCCTGGTTATGGATATAACAACATTGCTATGCCTTCCCCAAATCAAATGCTAGTTCAAGGTTCACTACCACAGACCACCACTAGCAGTGTACACAATCAACAGATTTATGGCGATGGGATGGCTTACCAACATCAGGCTTCTTGGAGGCCTGGTTATTAGTCTTCTTTTGGTGGTTCTCCCCCTTAAAAAAGAAAAACTGAATTGGTAAAGATGAAGACATTTTAACTTCTTCTATTTGGGGCAATTTACCTAAAACAAAACCCCAATTATCATCAGCAGTATTTCTTTTGAATAAATTAGAACATGTACAAATATACGAGTTTATCATTTATTCTTCCCTGATTTTTTTTGTTCACATTTTTGAATCTATGGGTTAGAAATTATCTTCTGTTAGAGGGAATTATTATTGATTTTTGTGTTTATATTGTGTGAAATGAAACTGTGTAATTTCAGCCATTATGAATCTATTCATATGTGTTTAGATACCCTAGACACTTTGAAGTGTCTCGCAGGGTAACTTCCTATCTGGAATTTAATTTGCCCACATGTGTTATCTCTATTAATTATTATTATTATATTCCCATAGGTTTCGATATTACAGATACTTCATCAGATTTTTGACAGCACACACGCGTATTAGAACTTGATTCTGATGCCTGCACTACTGATAGCTGGAAAGAATATTTTTTCTCTCCGAAACAAGGCCTTAGATATTGAATGCGAAAAAATTGGGACTCTACCCCACGATGCTGTTTCCGCGGCTTGCTTTGAGACTGACAGTATTTATTATGTCTCTGAGTATTTACCAGATTCTTTAATGTCATGGACTCCCACAGAGCCCGCTAAATTCATTACAAAGTTTCCATATTCATTGAGAAAGATTATCTTCTACCATAATAAGGTGTTTTGTGCGCAGGCAAACAGCCATTTTATATTCGCTTATGACCCTCTCAGCTTGGTGATTGAAACTCTGGAAATGCCTTGTGAGGTCTTAAATTTCGAACCAGGTGACAATGGCTTTGTAATTGAGAACAAAACAGGCGATCTTTATGGCTACAGTTTTGACAATGGAATGAATAAGGTACAACAACTTGTGAATGCAAAACTCATAGGTAATTACAGAAATTCAGCAGTTGCTTTGGTAGCTTCAAATAGTGATGCAATAAGCGTGACGGAAGAGGGAAAAACCTACTCTTCTACTCTTTCCTCAGTTGAAAATTGCTTCGTTGTGGAGGATAATGATGTGATTCAATTAGACAGACACAAAAAGGCTTTAATTTATCATAATGACCTTAGTCGTCCTATTCCATCTAGCTCGAAATATATTCACCTACTTCATACACCAACAATGGATACTGAGCAAATTTGCACCATGTGTTTGTGCGAGTTGGATGAGTCCCCCAGTTTGACGTTGGATTGTGGTCATCAATTCCATATTGATTGTGTTTTGGAGTGGGTTAATAATTGGGATGAATTTAGAAAAAAGGGAAATCATATTTCATTTAACCGTGGGATGTGTCCAGGGGGCTGCAAGCATTTAGTTCGGCATCCGCTGATATATTCAACTTCGAGGGATATTAAGGAACTTTACGATAAGGTGTCGCTTCAGAGGCGTGAAATCATTCAAGTTTTATACACCACTAAATCTCAAGATGATTTGCTCTTTTACGTTTGCAGTAAATGTGCTGAGCCATTTCTTGGGGGTGAAAACAGTTGTTTCCGCATGCAGGGCGGAGAACCCGCAAAAGATCCGAACAGCCTACTATGTGATAACTGTCAAACCGATTTCTTCTGTCCTACACATGGCCGAAAGTACGTTATTTATAAATGCACCTATTGTTGTAATCCCGCCACTCATCGATCCTTTGCCACGCGTTATCTTTGCGATCGATGCGAGGAGCGCTGGGTTGGTTCTACCGAGGTGGATAAAATTTCATGCCCAGGGCCAAATGTCTGCCCATTAGGTGGGCATCATGATACGACATGTGCATATCCTGTTGGTTGTCTTTTATGCCTACCTGAATATTTGTTGGCGATAGATTTTATTATTCCACCGTCTGGGAATGGAGATGAAAACAAACTAGCTCAATAGCATGTAACGGAAAATTAATTTAGAGACAATTTGTTTATTCGCTTTGCTTCAATGCTTTCTGGCTTTTTTTTAACTGCACGCATGAGTTCTGTTTTCGAAATTCAGGAGTTACTTTTAAATAGCCAATGCGTTAAAAAATAAAAAATAGAATTTAATCGAATACTAATTAATTTACCTTTACTAATCAATCTGCACTATATTTCTTCCCTTCCCCAGGGCTTACAACTTATGCTTTTTTAATTTCTTGATAGTTTTCCTTATAAAGCATATTTCACCCGTTTTTGTATTGACTACCTTGCTTAGCGATGTCTGGGGAATGCATTTACGATCTCGTTGCTGATAACTTTGAGTCGGCAGCACAGCCTGAAATCACATTGAAAGGAAGAAAGCCCGTATCACGAAAAGTTCCCCCTCCAACCGCTACGACATTTGGCTTGCATGGCACCAGCGCTGTCCTGGGAAACGTTGGGGGCGAGTTTACCGACCCCTCTGTCCATCCAAGTAAAAAGCCCATTGGTTCTTTTGGGCGAAGTGTCGCCGATACTGTCAACCCATCCAATTTTATGAAAAAAAATAAGGGTCCATTCACTGCTAGCCGTGGCGCACCAACCGTTAATGAAACAAATTTTAAAAAGAGTGCCTATTCACATGAAAAGGTGAAGCCGGATATTACTTGTCGATATGAGCATCCCGTCATGGGGATGAAGACTGATAAAAATTTTGTCTTGGCCAATGCTGTTGAGGTTACAATGGCTATTCCATCTAAGCAAATTCCTATTCCACCTCCTAATTCAACGGATCGAAGTGATTTTGGAAAAGTTCCATCCTATTTGAAGGAAATTAAAGAAGAAATCCAGAATAGACGGCAATTAGTTCAAACTCTTGCTATGGAAACTAAGGCAGCAAATGAGAAGTGGTCAGAACTTTCTTACGACGAGTTAGCTGAGCTACGTAACGGCTTGCAACAGCGCTGGGATTCTACTAACAAAGAGTACCAAACTAGTGGATTTAATATTTCGCAAACAGTCTCAAAAAAAGCACACCAAGAAGCGTTAGAAAAACAGTTGAGCACTCTAGAGTTTATGATGCAAAAACTGAGTCGTTGTCATGTTTTTATTTATGATGATCAGAAATGAGAGGATTATCTGCCTAGTCGTGACGAAGATTCAAAGCGAAAATAGTATAACCATGTATTAAAGGGAATATTGTGTTCAGGCACCTTTCTTTATCCCTCTTTTGTTTAAATGTAAAATGTTGTATTTAATTTATCAGCCTTACTACATCCAGCTTTACGCTTTGAGATGTCAATTATCTCTTTTAAATGTAGTTATGCTTTTATTTATAACTACATTTTTCCACTTTTTTTAATCTATTCTATCAATACATATTGCACGGTGCCGTTTATCTGATAGTAGATTCTCTGGATGTACTTTGACAGTTCACGCATACTGGACTCTCGTTGTCCTCGTACCCCTTACAAACCAACCTCCGAAACTCTTTCACTGGTTAACATTAGTGTCAAGGGGCTTCACTTCGGTCAGAGAAAACTGTTATTATCTGAAATAGAATTTCTTACTGCCATTTTTGACAAGCAAAAGAGCGATAGTGTTGAATCTTCTCGCGAGCAGCGCCCCGTTTTAGTAGTGTATCCCGGAGCTGCCAACGGTTCTCATCTCCCAATATTGTTCTGTTTATTCAAGGATGTTCGTTTTATTTTAATCGACCCTGCACCATTCTGTAAGGAGCTGGAAGTGATTGCAGAGGATGAGGATGGCCCTGTGATTGAACTTATTAATGATTATTGTACCGATGAGTTATGTTTACGGATTTCAAGAATGTATGGCACTCAGTATGATCTGTACATTGTGAGCGATATCCGCACAGGAGTGCCGAAAAAAATGCAAAAAAATATTGAGCATACAGAGATGATATTGCATGACAATGCCATACAGAGAAGCTGGTGTTGGTCTTTGAAGGCCATAGCCGCTATGCTTAAGTTTCATCCACCGTACCCACCTTCGACGGACTTATCGGTGCAAAAGTGCGATCTCGATGATAATACCCCCAACGAGATTGAATATTTCGACGGAATACAACTTTTAGGCGTTTGGGCACCCAAGTCCTCATCGGAAGTGCGCCTTGTGGTGGAGGGACCGTTCAGCCATGGCCACATTGCCAAGACGCGGAAGTATAACTGTAGAACGCACGAGGAGCAATGCTATCATTACAATATAAGCAATAGATACGCCAAGGACTGTGCGGCAGAAAGAGTAATAATGGATCGTTATTTGAAATGTGTTTCAAATAAATACGGAAACAATATTACTGCACTATCGAACCAGATAAGCAAGGATTTACGATTTCCTTTGTTTTGCCCTCTCGAGAAGGACTTTACTGAAGACAACGCCCGCTGGTTATATCTTCTGTACTCCTCTCGCAGGAATAATATAATTCATCTGTACGAACCCTTCAAGAATATCATGAAGTTTGACACTGTTAAGAGCTTAATTAAACAATATGGCGAATCCGAAAAGGTTCCAGAGAATGCTCAGGTATCTGGGAAGCAGCTGTCAATTGACTTCTGGAAGGACTTTTGTCGTTGTGATTTTGAGTCCGCTTATTCACTCCCCCGTATTCAATGGAAATTTTACGGCCTTTTAGAATCCAGGTGTACTTCTTATAAGAGAGAGAAGAGGGGATCAACATCATCTTTTTGTAATCAAGTCAAATTTCCCCGAAAGGAGTATTAAAAAGATGAAAACTATAATTTTAAACACTTAGATTTACATTACTATTTCTGTACTTAAATACAGATTTGTTGGTTGTTTTGGTTATTTTAATTCATTTTCTTTTTGTTGCAATTTTTATTTATTCTATTTCAAGGGAAACGATCTTTATTCACATTTTTTTTTAATAAGTATATTTGAATAGTAATTTTCATATTTCATACATTTTAAGCTAATCTTCTGTCACTTTTTAAAGTGATGAAGATTACGGTTGATGTTGAACTCCAGGAGATGGAGTTAGCGAGGGGCTCACGCGTTCAACAAGCTTTAGAATGTATTAACCCTAACGTTTATATTCGTATGGTTACAGACAAAAATTCCCTTTCAGCCCGTATCAAAGAAGCCATTCGAGAGAAAAAATATGAGCAGATTACGGCTGAAATTTTTGATCGTCTCAGTTTTACTCCTGTGTTTGACGACTGTCTTGACATTTTGTGCTCTGAAGTTTTTTTTAGTACTCAGCGTTTCGAAGACGGACATCTTCTTCAACCCTTTATTACTGTCATATGCCGGCTTCCAGAACCATCGAAAGAAAAGATAAAAAACGAACTTTCCCAGAGAATCATGAGCTTCCTTTCGAAGCCCCAGAGACTGGATTGCAGCAGACGACCTCTCTTACCCTATGCTGAGACACTTGCCGCCATGACAAAAGCTGAGCTTTTGAGTCTTCGTAGTGTTGTGATGACTATTATACAAATGATTCGCATGGATATTACTCGCACTGCTGGTATAACCTGCCTTGGAAAGCTGGTGGAGGTTGCATACGAACCCCTTAGGCAGTGCGATTCACCGACACTCGAGCTTCTTCGCACTACTGTGGCTAGTGCACAACGAGATGACTCTTTTTTGTATGATGTAGAGTATATTATGGATGCCTTTGGGTGGTCCCAAAACAAGCCCGTACTTAGCATCGTTCGGTATGGTACTCACCATTCTCATCCTATTCTTTCTTTGGCTTATTGTGGCGGCTCAAACTACCGGGAAGCGGTTGTCACCTCCTCGGTGGATGGGACCATCGGTACGTGGGATCGTACTGGGACCCTCACCGAGAACATTGTGCTCGCCAGACACTATGCCGCGTCGCTAGACCTTGCAAATCGAGGTCGTACCCTTATTGTCGGCATGGTGTGTGCAAATCCTAGTATTCCACCGGCAGTTGTGTTATATAGCGAGGAAGGAAGCTCTCGAGAGTCCCACTGGGAGGAAAGCGGCGCAGTAGAGCCGAAGAACGCCCGCTTTATTACCTCGGTTCGGAGCCTTCGCAATGCCGGGACCGTTCGTTTTGGTGTCGGTGTTAGTACCTCAACCTCCAACCCGTTGCTTCTCTACGACCGAACGCAACTGTTGCAGGAGTATCACGACCACTCCGACATCCTCACCGCGATGCACGTCCCTTCCGATCGCGATACAACGATCATCACGGGCTCTCGCGATCGTTCGATTATTATTTATGACGTCCGCACCCGGCAAAGTGTGTCCAGCGTGACGCACCACTACAGCTCCGTATCGGCAATCGGTACCTGTGGGGACTACATTTTTACTGGCGGGCTGGATCGCCGTATTGTAGTGGATGACATGCGCATGTTAGGCCACCCTCTTGTGCGTGACATGGACAGCGCTATACTTAGTCTTTCCATCAACAATTCCATGCAGTGTGCAGTGTCGACACTGACTGGTATATATCTCATCTCCTTTTCAAATGGAGTCCATATCCCAGCCACCTCTCGCGCTGATAATGGACCCAACTCAACTTCCTATCACGCAATTTCATGGAATAGCACTGGAAATATTCTATATGCAGCCGGTGAAAGCATGTCTTTAGATATCTTTGCACGAGCATACGCTGATGGTGATACGTTTGAAGGCGCTTGATAGATGCATTATCTAATATTTTCTCCGTCAGAGGTATATTCTACAGCAAAGATGTATTCTTTTCAAGGCAAGAGTGACAATTCACAGAAACCAGGATGAGATGGCAGGTACTAAAAAAAATTGCTAGTTTAAATATCATATGTGCTAAAAATTTCTGTGACCTCTTCAACATAGCAGCTTGAATCGACTAATGTTTCTTTGTAGCTGATTCGTTTTTGAGAAATTGTGTGTTTACCTTCGTTTAATAGATAGCGGTATTTGTGGTGTATTTAAAGCAATCACAGCAAAAAAACATCTCTGGTGAGGCTCTTACGATAAATTAGATTGCTTGTTGAATAATAATTCTAATTTAACGTTTTTTAAATTAAGAATTGGTGTCTTACTTTTAATATTGCTTAAATGGTGTTATGTTTCTAACAGGAATTGCTGTTTCGTGAAAATGAATTTATAACGCAAATTTCATAACTTTTTTTTTGATATTTCTTATTTTTATCTAAAGTCTTTTATATTAAACTTATTCTAATATTTCTTATTTAAGTAAGAGATATTACCATTTTTTCCGAAAGCAATGCTCTTTTGTTAATTATTTGAAATTTATCGAATATCTTTTTCACTCCTAAGATTATTTTTATTATTAATTTTTAAAATATTGGTGTCTATTTTTAGGCACCTATTATACTAACAAATTCCTGATAAGAGTTTAGTAGGAACTTAATATATTTTTTTTCATAAAAGATTCGAAATATGGAAGACGCTGTTCGTATTGCGCCGGAAATTGAGGATTTTCTTCATGCCGTCCGCGCAAGGAAAGTAGATCAATCGGAGAACCTGTTAAAACAGAATCCATCCCTTCTGAACAGCGTGGAAGCAGGAGGCTACAGCGCGCTCCACTTTGCAGCCTTCAATGGCGATATACCCATGCTTAAAATGCTTCTTGAACGCAAGCCAGTCATCGATATGGAGAACTTTGATGGTAATCCACCGCTCGTTATGGCAGTGAGGGGGCAACAGCTGGAAGCTATTCGTTTCTTGGTGAATGCAGGGGCTGATGTGAATAAGGAAAGTTCTTCAGGACGCACGGCGATACACTACGCTGCGTCGATGGGTTGCTTGAAATCTCTTCAACTACTTATTGATCTGGGTTCTAAAATTCTTTTCGAGTCGAAAGAGTCTGGAAGTCTCCTTCATTGGGCATGCCATTCCGGCGATATTGAATGTATTGGCAGCATGCTGTACGTGTACCACATTCCTGTGAATATTACGGACAAACATGGTGGGACACCACTCTTCACTGCAATTTTTATGAAGCAATTTGCTTCGGTGGAATTTCTTTTAGAACATGGTGCTAACCCTAATATTGTTATTCCTGCTGATGGGACAACACCATTGCATATCGCAGTGGAACACAGCAGCATAGGATATATTCGATTACTTCTTGACTGCGGCGCGAATCCCATGGCAAAAAATAATGATGATGAGACGCCGATTGATTTTGCGATTCGCGGCCAAAAAACAGATTTCCTGAAGGAGTTGAATAAGCCCCATCTCCCTTTTGAAAAGCGTGCGGACGAGGCCGTTCGCTATAAGAACCATGGAAACAAAGTTTTTGCGCAGGGAGAATATGTTAAGGCTGCCAAGTTTTATACCTTGGCCATTCATTTGGATAATAAAAACTCGACTTACTTCAGCAATCGTGCCGTCTCCTACTTTAACCAAAAGGCCTATGAAAGTGCTTACTGGGATGCTTTAAGATGTATTCAGCTAAATCCGTCTTGGCCGAGGGGCTATGTACGCAAAGGCGCTACGGAGTTAATATTGAAAAAATACGCGGATGCTGTTGCCACGGCTAATATGGGTTTAAATTTCGATAAAGATAATGCGAATCTTTTGAGTATAAGGGAGGAAGCCTCTAATCACTTGAAAAAGGCTTAATTTATTGTTTCACACTTAATTTACATTAGAGGTAATGACGTTAACGAATGAAAATCCATTCCCTTGGGTATATATGAACTTAAGCCATCTCTTTTGATGTCTTCTTTAACTTTAAACATGCCTACATATTTTCACACTGTTGGTTCATATACCTCTAATTTTTATGCAAGTTATTTCTTTACAAAAAAAAGTTTTTTCCTCATTTTTGAATTTCCCTTAACTCGAGGGAAAAGATAAGCATATAGAAGTATTTTTATTGAAATATAATTTTTATATACTTGAAAATGGGATCTACACGACTTGTTAAGGTTATTGATGTGTGGTTGGCCTCTAATGATTCCCGTGATAAGCTTATGAAGGGAGCTGGATGTTTCTTCAAGCTTCTTGGACTCATTTCCAGTCAGGAAAAATACTTGAAAGTCAGCGCGGCGATGTCTGATTGCCGTTGTTTGATGCGTCTTCTCTCATGGATCAATAACACAAAAAAGGTCAGCGACGCGTTGGGAAAAAATGAAGTTGGGTTTCGAGAAGTCCTTTTTCTTTTACGAGTTATTTTCGATGGAATTTTCTGCTTGTTGGACAATGTAGTATACATGGGACATTTTTTTAATAAGGTAGATCCAAACCTCATTCGATTCAGAGTGATATCAAGAGCTTCATTATTCTGGGGGTACGTTGCCGCTGTGATACTGGATTTACACGATCTAATCAAAGATAAAGCTATACAAAATTCTACGCAGCGGCACCTTGGGTTGTTTCGAAATGCATGTGACATGATCTCCACTCTGGGAGGCGTGTGCTGCCTTGATATCGGTCCATTCAGTGCTGCCTTTTTGGGACTTTTAAGTGCTACTATTTCAACCAATGAGCAAATCCAAGCAGCCAAAATTTCAATGGGTCCTCAGTTAGGGGGGAAAAAGCTTTTAAATCATCGCTGATTATCATGACTTGATCTTCTTTATATTTAATAGAAGCTTTTATTATATCAGTTGCTTCTTTCAGAAAAAAAAATATTTATGGATATTTACTTCATTTTTTTATTTAACATCGCCCGTTTTATGAAGTTCAGGAACCCTTATTATGCCATTTTTTCCTTATAATTAAATAGCGTGATCC